GGCAGGACGGCGGGGAAGTTTGAATTTGCTGGTGTGCGTTGTGGAAAGCGAAGGGAAGACACGGTGCACGCTAGCTCCTAAACTCATTCAATCACTGAATTCCTGCCCCTCCTCTCTTTTTTCTTCACAATGCCTGTTAACATACTCAGGGACTGTCCTTTAACAGTTCACAGTTACGCCTGTAAATAGCCTTCCGTCTGAGATCTTTTGAGGCTCCTTTTTTGACTGGTTGATATTTACGCCCAGGCCTTGGAAGCTTGCAAAGACGCCGGCTTGGTGAGGTCCCTGGGAGTGTCCAACTTTAACCGCAGGCAGCTGGAGCTCATCCTGAACAAACCCGGACTCAAACACAAACCCGTTAACAACCAGGTACCGCTCACAGCTTCCACTTTGGGGAAAACAATCTAATAATTGCTCAGCCGAAAGAACCCCAGGGTGGGAGCCAGGACGCCTTGTAGCAGTGCCGCATGTATCTTGTCATGAGACCCTGGCCATCACGGGTGATGCTTTTGGTATCTGAAATACTAGTGGCGTGGCTTCTAGCACCACAGCGACACGGAGCCAGCATAGTGCGGCAGACTACAGGTGGTGGCATGTCTACTTACAAGGCTGGTAATCAGAAACTTGAGGTGATGCATGTTTGTTTTGGAAAATTGTATTTGGTGGAATGTTTACTAGAGATAATTGGGTTTGCTCATGTGAAGTTTAAACAGTGCTTGTTATACAAAATTGAATTTGTTCCCAAACTTTTTTGGAATGAATTCACAGACAATGGCCCCACTAACCTTGTTTTAATTGATAAACAATGTAAACTTTCTTGTTTGGAAAAATATTTCGGATTTTCCTCGATATCTGTCATATGTTTAAATGGATATTACTGTAGATTTTTTAAAAAGCTATCTAAAATCATGTTCATCTACAAAGCCTTAATTTTGTGCTCTGCTCTGCAATGCATCCTTCTCACAGGTTGAGTGCCACCCATATTTCACCCAGCCCAAACTCTTGGAATTTTGCCGACAGCATGACATTGTCATTACTGCATACAGCCCTTTGGGGACCGCCAGGAACCCGCTCTGGTAAGTAACTCTGAATGCCTCTTCCAGAAGGGTTTCCTTTGGCACAGAGAATAAGGCTAATGTGGTTTCCTGACTGGAGTGACCATTGGCTGTGTGATCTTAAGGAACTAAAGTAACCTCTCTGAGTCACTGTCTTCTTGTTGTTGTTATTTGCCATCAAGTCGCCCCCGACTCATAGCGACCCCTCCTTGGGTTTCCAAGGCAGTATCACTATGGAAGTAGGATTGCCCATCTTTCCTTCCGAGGAGTGGCTGGTGGGTTTTTCTAGTTAGACAAATTGGAGCTGATAATATCCTCCTCACTGAGGTGTTGTAAGAATCAATTACACTCTCTGTGTGAAATTGCCCAGCCGTGCTGGCAGCATAGGAAATGCTTCTTGGGAAAGAAAACCTCATACCCTGTTAGGAATGAAAGAAAAGGAGTTTTATTGAGGACTTGAACTTGAGCTGGGAAGTGCTAAATAAAAACACAAAGCAGCACCATTCAAGCAGAGAGAGGGGTTTCTATACATAGGGAGCAAAGGAAAGGTGGGGGGGTGGTTAATGATGCTTGCAGGTAAGGGCAGCTTCAGCCTGAAGTCCTTTGAACTATAAAGATGGGTCACTTGGCTAGGAGGGAGGGACTTATCACCTGGGAGCGACACCAGCCAGCACAGTCACGCGTGACTGCAGTCATGAACACGTTTTTGCGGAACACAGTGTGTACATCTTGACAATGCCCATGGATGAGCACTCTCTATCCTGCCCTTTGCTTCCTGGGAATGCATATTGGCCCCGTGACTCCCACATCTGACAAGAGTGTCTCCACTTCGAAACTTTTCTGTTTAATGCTCACTGCCTCTATAAATATTATTTGAGAAACATTTTTGAAATTTTTTCCTGAAATTTTTGAATTTTTTAAACTTGGATTTCAATGGTGACACTTCTGTGGTGTATTCCAGGAAAAAAATAATAAATAAAACTCACTGCCATTGAGTCAGTTCCAACTCATAGCCACCCTTTTGGGTGTCCGAGGTGACAAATCCTTACAGAAGTAGATTGTCCCATCTTCCTTCTGTGGAGTGGCCGGTGGCTTTGAACTACCACCTTTCTGGTTAGCAGTCAAATGCCTTAGGCACCACACCAACAGAGCTCCTTACGGTATATTCCAGAGGTTTCTGGAATAGGTCCAGAAACTTTTCTGCTCTGAGTCGGTGCTGAAAACCGTGGTCTCTTACCACCACTTCCTTCCTCCTGCCTGCCCCCTATGCCCACTTCTGGCCCAGCTCTCTGAGTCTTACCTACCTATCACTTGGCCTCTGGAAGAGCTACTCTGTGGACTTGCCTCTCATGACCTGTGCACACTAAGCGCACTTCTTTATGTGAGGACTACTCTGCACTCAGAGAAGCTGCCTGCAAGTGACCCCAAGTGTCCTGGTAGGTGACGAGGTGAACGGGGAGATGGAAGGAGAGGGACTGACTAGCCGTTGGATCTCCTGACTCATGTTCAATATGATGCATGTTTTGGTTTTTTCAAAGGGTGAACATCTCTTCTCCACCTTTGCTAGAGGACTCACACTTAAACTCACTGGGGAAGAAGTACAATAAGACAGCAGCCCAGATTGCTTTGCGTTTCAACGTTCAGCGTGGGGTGGTTGTCATTCCTAAAAGCTTTAATCCAGAGAGGATCAAAGAAAACTTCCAGGTGAGAGAATGGCTATTGGAAAGGTGAAAAGAGAGGTATGGTGTTTTCATTTAGAGAATTTGCCACCAACTTTCCACGTGCAATGCCTTCCTCTTCTAGACCAGCTCCTGGATCCGAGCTGCCCGTGTCTGGACTGGATTTTGGCTGAATCTGAGACAGTCCCCAGCACTCGGGGACCTGCTTTGTCGTTTGTACATATTTCCCAGCTCCCTTATTGCTCCCATTCCCTCACCTGTTGACTCAGCTCTGCCTACTCTCTTCTCCACCAGCTCAGCAGAAACAGAACGTGTACAATTCAAAACCCTAATCGTCACCTTTCCACCTTAGTGGTTCTGATAAAAGTTGGAAGCAGACTTGGGAATGATTGAGGAGGACCATTTGGACTTCACGAGTGTCAATTGCCAGTATTCCTTCTGTAGGAAGTCTGCGACCAGCAGAGATAACTTATCTAGCTTCAAGTGACTCTTAATACCGCCCAGAACCCACCCTGTCACCCCCTTCCATTTTCCGTCTCACCTGCTTAGACAGTGTCTGTAACGTTTAACACCTCCCCGTCCTGTGGAGAGTTCCTGTGGGTGTTGCTGGAGTGTTGGGAATTGCTTGTGTGAAATCTCCAGCAGGCTTCTGTCCAAGGCCACCAGCAGAGTGGAATCCCCTCTTCTCATCGGCAGGGCGGCCTGCACTAGCCCAGCTCTGGAGGCATTTGCACATGCTTCTAAGTGGGCAGGGCCCCAGTGCAGTCCCCTGCCTGGTACTCATCCACAAGCACAAGTTTGATCTCAAGCTTGACCTGTCGCCGACCTTCAAAGATGTTCTGTCTTCTGTTTCTGTCTTACCAGATCTTTGACTTTTCTCTCACTGAAGAAGAAATGAAGAGCATTGAACGTCTGAATACAAACATTCGCTTTGTGGAGTTGCTCATGTGAGTCCTGGGGGATCGGTTATTGGGTGCTGCCCAGCTGCATGGTGTTGTCAATCATCAGCCAGTAGGACTTCCCTGAGCCCCAGCTGTGCCCACAGAAAGTACAGACACAGGCCGAGGCAGCACGTCCGGGATGTTAAACATCCCTCGGCGACATACAGCCGCCGCAGCAACAGTGCCCAAACCCTGCACTGGAGTCTATTCTGACCCACAGCGCCCCTACAGGACAGAGTGGAACTGCCTCATATAGTTTCCTAGGCTGTCAGTCTTCACAGAAGCAAAGCCCAAACCAAACCCACTGTAGTGGAGTCGATTCCAACCCACAGCGCCCTTAGAGGACAGAGTGGAACTGCCTACAGGGTCTCCAAGGCTGTCACTCTTCACAGAAGCAGACTGCTACATCTTTCTCTCACCAAGAAGCTGGTGGGTTCCAACTGATGACATCTTCATTAGCATCTGAATGCTTTAACCACTGCACCACCAG